CCGGGCAGCTCCTGGGGCAGCTGGCGGAGAGCCAGTCCCAGGAAGGTGGGTGTCCTGGCGGGTTCAGGGTCCCCTGCCACCGTGGGATGTTCCCATAGGGGACAACGGGGCTGGGTGCGGGGCTGAACCTGTCCTCTGTGCTGCCCAGCCCTGGAGATCTGTCCCACCAGGGAGCATGGGCGGTGTCTTGGGGACCACAGGGACCCCAAATGCCCAGAGCACCCCCCAGGCCCCCAGGAGGGTGGTGGGGGCAGACACAGGGTGCAGGCTGCCATCATCAGCACAGGGGTGCATCCAGCACAGCCTAAAGCTCTCGGCTCCCCTCTTCCCACTGTTCCTACTCTGCTATCTACCAGGAGCAATGGGAGAGCGATGCTTTGCAGAAGCATCAAGAAACCCCATAGTGTTGTGGGGTCGGGGGAGCCCTCGGGTCCCGGGGGCCACTCACGCCGGTCCCCCATGTCTGGGCTCAGATAGCACGGCGCGGAAGGAGCGGGAGGTGATGCTGCGGCTGAAGGAGGTGGTGGACAAGCAGAGGGACGAGCTTCGCGCCCAGGCCCATGAGATCATCTGCAAGAGCCGAGACACGGAGGCGGTGAGACTGTGGGAGCTCGCGGGTGTGGTGCGTGAAGGGCCTGGGGACCTGCTTTCATGTCACCTCACCCTGGGGCCGTTGTCGTGGCTGGTGAGCCTGCTGGGGCACACACCTTTCCCATGGCTCTGTGTGTGCTGGTCTCCCTGGGGGGGGGAGCCCAGAGCTGATGCCCCGGCCCCTCCAGCTGCAGGAGCAACTGCATCGCTTCATGGCCATGAACGAGGACCTGCGTCACAAGGTGGCCGTGGTGCAGGCTCAGCTCAAGAGCACGCTGGAGAAGAAGGCAGACCTGGAGGCTGCGATGCTGCAAACCCAGAGGGAAATGAGTAGGAGGAACAGGACCGCCTCTGATAGCCAGCGGCCAAAGTCCAGCCTGGTGAGTCTGAGCCCATGGCCCCACTGCTGCAGGGCATGGCTAACGCTGATGTGACCTTCCCAGCCGTGTGTGCGGCTCCTGGCACGCCCGGACCCGCCGGCTGCCAGCAGGACACGGCTGCTTCCATAAGCCCTGCTGCTGAAAATTGAACAGCGCAGTGCCTGTGATGCCCACGTTGTCTGTAAAAATTGGTAGGGGTGGAGGCGGGAGTGAGTGAGGCGAGGTGATGGGAGGAAAAGCCGGGGGGGACTCAGAGGATGAGGAGGGTTTGCCACATGTGGTGATGGGCGGTGGGTGCCGGCTGAGCTGGGGAGCCACCGTGGTCCATGGAGGGCTGCAGCAGCTCCAGACCAGCAAACTCATTCCTGAGACTTTTCCATCTCTGCCTGCACATGGCACCCAGCCTTTGGGTGGGGGCTTCGGGGTCTCCGCCTGCCTGCTGACTCTTTCTGCCCCTGCAGGAAGGAGCGCCGTCACCCACGGAAGAGCCGCAGCACCAGGACATGGACATGGGCCGGAGCCCTGCTCACTGCTGCTTCTCCATGGAAGAGCTGGAGCAGATCCTGCAAGAGCGGAACGAGCTCAAGACCAACCTGTTCCTGGTGCAGGAGGAGTTGGCCTACTACCAGCGGTGAGTCCTGCTGTGGTGGGGCAGCGAGCCGGGTCCCTCCTGCCCCTGCAGCCACCCATGGCCCATCAGAGGCTGCTCCTGGTGCAGTCGGGGCAGATTTCTTTGCCGAGCTCTTGGTGAACCAGCTGGCTGCTTTTTGCCAGGGAGCTGCTGAATGAAGAGAGAGTTCCCGGCTTCTTCTTGGATGCGATGAAGTCGACTATCAAAAGACAGAGGAAAAAAATCAGAGCCAAAATGCTGGGAACGACAGAGGAGTCGGCGAGCAGGTGAGTCCTGCTCCCCAGGAGGGAGGACGGGGAGCCTCCCGTGCAGGGTGGATGCCGGCTGGCAGGCTCCGCTGTTTCCGTGTGATGTGATGATGCCCTGGAAGGGAACTCCCCCGGGCAGAGAGCTGCCACCTCCCTGCCTGCTTCCAGAGATCAAAGGTTTATTGTCTGCAGTGAATGTCTTGCTCTGGCTTGACCCTGGGAGCACCGCAGGGGCTGGGCTCTTCTCTGCTGCTACTCGCGTGTCCCTGTCACCAGTCACACATGGCCTGGCCAAACGCCACTCGTCCCTGCGTGGATGTGGCAAAAGGGAGGCGAGGTGGTGGCACTGGGACCACCGGCCAGGGCAGGCTGGTCCCTTGCTGTACGGTTGGAGGCTGTCCAGCGAGGAGCCTTTGAAGATGTTCCCTGGAGGCTCTGCAAGACTTTTGTGGGCAGCATTGGCTCCATCAGACTTCTCACGATGGGGAGGGGAGGACCCTGCTGGGCACCAGCACCGGCTCTGCAGCTCTGCCAGCATTTGGGGGGTGAAGCCTGCGCTAAAGCTGCTGGATGGCGGGGGGGAAGCTGGATCTCACTGGCTTTTAGGGGCTTTAATAAAGGTCTGAAGGGGGCTGAGCTCTTCTGTGCTACTGAAACCTGCTGCTTGCTTGTGTCGGGGTCTCTGCTGGCAGTGGGGGGGGCCTGGGGGTGTTGGGTCCTGCCTGGCAAGGGTAGCCGCTGCCGTTCGAATGCTGCCCTGCAGTCGCCTCTCCTGTGTCACCCTGCTCCCCTGCAAGGCCTGGCTGTCACCCGCCTTGGCCCCGAGCCGCAGCCAGTGGTGCCAATTGTCAGGCTGCTCCCCTTGCCATCTGGGGTGAGATGCCTAAAGACTTCACTGCAGTGGCAACCGGGGACATACCATCCGCTGACCGAGCGCCGGGGGTTTGAAGCCGGTATCTGAAGAGCCTCATGGCTTGAGGTCACCAAGCCAGGGCTGGGCTTGCCATGAAGCACGGCTGTGTCTGGGACACGAACATCGCTACAGCTGGCTGCGGCTTTGTGGCAGGTCGCAGCCCAACGGTGATTTGTGGGGACAGCAGCTCCAGTCCGTGTGCCCCTGGCTCTGCGGCCGCCTCCGCACGTGCGGCTCTGCGGGGGACACTGCTCAGCTCGGGGTGGCTCTGGTGCTTGCTCGTGGTGAGCCTGTGACTCAGTGCAGATTTTTCCCCGCTCCTTTGTGCTGCAGCGATGAAGATGAGGGCTCCTGGCTCCCAGCGCGTGGTGCAGACTGCGTGGATGCTCAGCCTCCCGAATCCAAAATTAGGAGCTTGTAAGTTTGCTCCCATGCTCTGGTGCTGCTGGGGACGGGGAGGGCTCTGCCAGCGGAGAGGAAGTCTGGGGCTCGGATGTGGACCTGGTGTCTGCTGAGCCTGACGGAGCTGGACTGCCTGGTGTGGGGCTGGCGGGGATGCTGCCGCAGGGGGGTTGCGCGGTTCAGGGGGGATCTGCCTTGCAGGCGGGCAAGGGCAGGCCTGGCTGCTGCCTCAGGGGTGCTGCACGCTCCCAGGGGCTGGCAGCCGGGCTGCGTCCTGCTGCTGCCACCGAATGCAGAGGGAGGGTGGGGTCTGGCCACTTTTTTTTTTTTTGGAGGGGGAGAGCAAGCCGGCAGCCAGCCCCCCCGACAGAGCCGCGCCAGCCCTCTGACCCCACCTGAATGGGAGCCGGACCTGGCCTCGCAGCAGCGCTTCCCGGTTTCTCCGGGCATTTTCAAGAGCGGCACGGCAGCCCTGGCCGCTTCCCCACACCGTGGTGACAATGAAGCCCCAGTGTGGGCAGCCTTCCTGCAAACCCACCAGGACGCTCCGCCGTGGGGTGCTGGCCTGGCACAGGACAGCTTGGCACCTCCGGGCATCTCTGCCTGTCGGCCACTCTTTCATTGTGCTGTGGCTTAACTATGGGGGTCCTGCACAGCCCTGCCCCTGCTCCCCACTTCTCCATGCTGCTCAGAGCAGGGGGGGGGTCTGCACCCACTTCCCACCACCGCATCCGTCCCAAAGGGCTCTTCCCATCCGCTGGTGGCCCTTTCCGCCAAGCACCTCTGCTCGGAGCCCAGGATCCCATCATCAGATCCTGCCCTGCCGGGGTTATTTCACTTCACCCCTTTCCACTCATACCTTCCCCCTATCCCTGCAATGAGAAGGTCAAGTTGGGGTGCCTAGGCCGGCCAGCTGGGTGCTGTCCTGGGGTCACCACGCGGCTGGGAGGGTCTGGGCACACTGCACCAGGTGTCTGGGTGCTCCGTGTCTGGGAGCAGTCAGGATCAGCACCACGAGTGCCGCTCCTGCACTTTTCAGGCATGGGATGAATCAGTTTTGTACTGGGACCTCTTCCTGCTACTACTGGGAACTGGAAGACTGGAACAATCCTTGTGTTCACAGGGGCGAGTCAGTCCCCTCGGGTCAGGTACTTCTATGGCTCTAGAAATGAATTCTAGAAATAAATGTCTCCTCTTTCTCCTCCGAGGTACCCACCGCGGCCTCCGCTCTGTCCTTCCTTGGGAAGGGCTGGGTGGTGCTGCCAGGCTTCCGTCGCAGTTCTCCAACGTAGCCGTCACTTTTTGTGCATCCATGCCAAGGGCTGTGGCTGGCTGTGCTGTGCCAGACCCCGGACCCCCTTCTGGGGGGTCAGCTATGATGGGGAGCGGGGTTACAGGGGCCGCAGCGCTGGATGAGGAGGAGTTAAGTCCTGTGTGGCTGTCCCACCACAGTCCCGCTTCCAGCCCAGGGCCCCCCCGGCGAAGCCGGCTTTGGGTAGGAAAAAGGTGTTTCCTGTGCATCTGCTGACACAAAGCTCCTGGGGAGACGGCGAGGTGGGATGGTGGCCAGCAGCAGTTCAAAGGACAGCCTGGGGCACACCATGTCCTCTGGGGGGGGACACATACGTGGGAACCCCACTTCTCAGCCTCTGCCAGGGGCTGGCAGCGCTGTGGGGCAGATCACAGGGGTCGGGGCAGGGGGAGGCAGTGGACGCCTTGCGGATTGGGGGGACATTGGCTAAAACAGCTTTGGGGGCGATGGAGGATGGCACAGGGGAGCGGGGTGACGGCGGGTCAGATATTCTGGCGGGTGCCAACCCCTGCACAGCCATGCCGACCCCATTTCTGCCTCTGGGGTGGGGGGCGATGGAGGAGGGCACAGGGGAGCGGGGTGACGGCAGGTCAGATATTCTGGCGGGTGCCACCCCCTGCACAGCCATGCCGACCCCATTTCTGCCTCTGGGGTGGCAGCCAGGAGCCCCTGGGGCAGCATGCCCTGCCTCTCCCTCCCCACTGCACCCCTGACGTCTGGATCGGGGCACCTCCTCCCGCGTTTCCTCAGGAAGAAACCCAAGGCTGGCGGGAGGAAGAGGCCACATCACGGGAGGGACGGGACGGGACAGACGGACGCCAGCGCGGGGCTGGGGAACTGAAAGTACTTGGGCCCTTGTGCCCCGCCAGCATGGGGAGCGCCCGGCCCATCCTCTGCCTCCAGCTGTGGCTGTGGGTGCAGAGCTCTGCCCAGGAGCTCGACCCTGATGGCAGGAACGTCTGCAGGTAGGTGCCATGGGGGTCTCTGCTCGTGCCCCTCCATCTCCCGGGGCCTCTCAGTAGCCTCAGGGGGTCATTATCTGTCTGTCCTTCCATGGACAGAGAGCCACAGCTTGGTGTCACATGGGTGCTGAGACCGGGGCGATGCTGGGAAGCGTGGTCAGGGCATGCGCAGGTATTTGGGGCACCCAGACCCCTTCTCTAGGGGTTATTTCTCATGCATCTGAAGCACACGGGGCAACGGGGGATGCAGGAGCACTGGTAAAACTTTCGTCCCGCACCAGGTGGGAAGCACAGGCGTAGCAAACCCCAAAGGGCTTTTGGAGCTGCCGTCCCCTCCGCTTTGCTGATACGTTGCCTCTCCCCTTGGTCTTGCCATCATGGCAGTGCCTTTGACTGCCTGTGCTTCAGCGTCTTCTTTCTGAGTTGCTGGCAAAGCTTTGAGCTGCTCCCAGAGCATCAGGGACGCGGGCTCCGTAGCGGCAGCCCCGGCAGAGCGGGGCAGGCCTGCCCTACTGCCCAGCCCCACCACCTGCTTGGGCTGCAGCCTCTTAAATTTCCTTCTATTTTGCTGGTTTCCTTCCGGAGTGATGCCCCCAGGGCTGCACCACCTCCCCCCCCGCTGGGCCCAGCCAGGGCAAGCGCCTGCATTCGCTTTGCTTTAGCCGAAGCTGCAAAGCTGCACGCGAACCTGTGCCGGTCCGGCACCCCCCACCCCGGCTGACGGCCCCCGGGTCTCTCCCGCAGGCTCCCCGCCGGCCCCGCGTGCTGCCCCGGCTGGAAGCAGGAAGGGCGGGAATGCATGGCCGGTGAGTGATGGATGGTGACGAAGCCCAAAGCTTGGTCCCCATGCTTGGCCGGGTGGCTCCTCCACAGTGTTGGGGGGAAACCCTACAGCTCCCCCCGAGCAGCATCAGTGGGGTCCTGCGCTATGGGGACCCCCAAACACCCACCCAGCTGCTAATGGTGCTGCAGCTCGGCCGGAGGGATGGAGCAGGAAGTGGGATGGAGGTTTCCCGGGAAAGGCGGGAGGTGGCTGGGTGGCGAGTGGTCTGGCAGAGGGGTTGGAGCCCAGGGGGGGCCATTGTGCACTGACTTGCCTGCCCTGATGCCGACAGCGCTGTGCGAGGGGGAGGATGCCTGCGGGGCGGACGAGGTGTGCGTGAGACCTGGGGTTTGCCTCTGCAAACCTGGCTTCTTCGGAGCAGACTGCAGTTCCCGTGAGTGCTTCCCCAGGGCTCGGCCCTCGCCATCCCCTTTGCCAGCCTGGATGCTCAGCGGGCTGCCGGGCTTCCTTGTCGCCCCCCATCCTCGCCTTCTCCTTCCCTTCGCAGGCTGCCCCGAGCAGTACTGGGGCCCCGACTGCAAGCGGAGCTGCCCGTGCCACCCCAACGGGCGCTGCGACCCAGTGAGCGGGCACTGCACCTGCGACCCCAACCACTGGGGAGGGCTCTGCCAGTTCCCTTGCCAGTGTGGCCCCCACGGCCGCTGCGACCCCCTCACCGGCCACTGCCGCTGCCTGCCGGGCTGGTGGGGCAGGAGGTGCAGCGTCAAATGCTCCTGCAACCTCTCGCCCTGCGCCCAGGAGACGGGCAAGTGCAAATGCAAGGCTGGGTTTTGGGGGCCGTTGTGCCAGTGGCGCTGCGACTGCCTTCACGGCTCCTGCAGCCCCCTCAGCGGGCACTGCAGCTGCAACCCCGGCTACCAGGGCAGGAGCTGCCGGGAGCCCTGTCCAGCAGGAAAATACGGGTCTCAGTGTGTGCACAGGTGAGCTGGGGGCAGCAGGGGGTCCTGCAGGTATGTGGGGGCTACAGTGAGACCTTGGGGGGGGGGAAAGTCATCACAGTCATGTCTGTCCCTCTGGCCAGGCAGGGAGAGCCGTTCGGGCAGGTTTGAGCATCCCCGGCTGAATGCAGCATCAGTGCTGCCCCAAAAGAAACATCTGCTAATGCCAGCAGAAAGCGCTGGTGTCACCCCAAAACCTTGGTACCACTCCCCAGGGGATAAAGCAGCATCTCTCCCTGCTTGCCTCCTGCCCTGTCGCTACGACAGTGCCTTAAGACTATTTCCCTGTGACCCAAACCGATGCTGAATACCGGTGTGGAGTGCAACCTGCATTTCGGAGGGGGGGGGCTGAGGGTGGGTCTCAAGACCTCGTCACCGCTCTGCCCACACAGCTGTGGGAGCTGCAAGCACAGCCAGCCCTGCTCGCCCGTGGACGGCTTCTGCCTGGCCTGCCAGCCCGGCTGGAACGGGACCCTCTGCAAGGAGCCCTGCACCCCCGGCTTCCACGGCGAGGACTGCCTCCAGCCGTGTCCCCGCTGCTGGCACGGGGAGGTCTGTGACCCAGAGACTGGGTCCTGCCTGCACTGCGAGCCCGGCTGGATGGGACCCAGGTATGCCCAGGATCGGGCCCTTGCAGGGGTCCCTGCTGCGCGGGTGCAGCGGGGCTGATGCTTCGCTCTCTGTCTTGGCAGCTGCAACATCTCCTGCCCCGTGGGCACCTTCGGTGATGGATGCCAGCTCCTCTGCCCCGAGTGCGTTGTGGGGAGCTGTGACCCCGTGACAGGAGCTTGCATCTGCCAGGCGGGCTACTGGGGAGCCAGGTAATGCTGGGAGCGGGTCAGGGCTGGGGCCCCACTCTCCCCAGGGGCATTTCCCCTCCTTTCCTCTCTCTTCCAGCTGCAACGACACCTGCCCGGAGGGGTATTTTGGCGTGAACTGTTCCTCACCCTGCCAGTGCTCCCGGGGGACCTGCCACCCCGTGCGGGGTGACTGCGTGTGGAGTAAGAGCAACCTCACATTCACGCCTTGGCAGTGGGCAAGGGACCGTAGCATCCTTGCTGGGGATGGAGGTGCTGGGAGGCTGCAAGGCAGGCTCCTGGCCCTGCCACCAGTTGACAGCTCCTGCGCTCTCCGTGCGGGGCAGCTCTACGGGCTCGGTAGCCACAGGACACACCGACTCACCCCATCTTCTCCGCGCAGGTCTTAAGGACCACGGGGCCTTGGCAGCCGCTGTCCTTGTCCCTCTCCTCCTGCTGCTGCTCTGCATTGCCTGCTGTTGCTGCGGAGCCGGCCCAGCAGATGCTAGAGACAGGTATTTGTTATATTTTGCAACCTTCCATCCCAGTCTCCCGTATCCCTTCACACCCATCTCCCCTGAGCAGGGCGGCCGTGCCGGACGACGACGTGGTGGCCCGGATGAAGCACCACGTGCAGGGGGTGCTGGCGAACCTCAGTGCTATGATGCCTTGCTTTTCCCTGGGTGGCTACAAACTTCCCAAAGTCACAGGTAAAAAAAAAAGCAGAGCTGCTGACAGCCCTTCCAGGGTGTCACCCCCAGCATTGGGGGGGGAGCCTGCACTCCCCCTCGCCCCACGGCACAGTTTGGGGCAGGTGTTGCTCTCCCACCCCAGCCCCGAGCACCCCGGGGTGCCTGAGCTCAGCTGGGTGTCTTCTCCTCCCCAGTTTCCCACCACGACACAGAAATCCCCTTCAACCCCAGCTTCATTGAGCCGCCGTCAGCCGCTTGGGTTTCAGACAGCTCCTTCTCCTCCTCCTTCGACACCGACAACGAGGGACCTGAGTACTCCGTCCCTCCCAGAGAAGGTGATGCCCATGGCTGCTCCTCCTCTCCCCGGCCACCCACAGCCCTTCTGGGCTGCCCGGGGTCAATCCTGCCCTGTTTTTAACCTTGGGCATCCCAGGGATGGGTGCTGGGCACAGGCAGCAATTATTTTCACACCCTCCTTTTCCTGTCTGTGAGGACACACCGGGGCCGTGCTTGGCCTCGTGTGATGGGACGTGCCTGGTGTGGGCAGCCACATTTCACAACCTCCTCTCCTGGAAATGCTCCCAGGGACAATCCTATTGCATCAGCCCCTGTCCCCACGTCCCCAGGTGTGTCCCTGGGCAGGGGGGTGGCTCTGGCAGCCCTAACCTTCACCCCTTTCTCCCCCAGGTGTCCCATTGCTGGGGGGGGCCGAGCTGCAGGATGGGGCGTCCCCCCTCAGCGAGGCGCTCCCAGACCCTTCTGCCTTCAACTCCGAGGATGTCTCACAGCCCTTCGCCATCCCCCGCACCTCCAGCATCGCCAAGGCCAAGCGTCCCTCTGTGTCCTTTGCCGAGGGGACAAAATTTGGGGCAGCGGAGACCCCCAGCCCTGGGCGGAAGCCCAAGACCCCATGGGGCCCATCCAGGCTGTCCTCACCGCTGGGGGATGCAGCAGCTGAGCCCCCCACTGAGCGACCAGCCAGCGATTGCTATGAGAGCCCTGAGCCCCTCGTCAAGGGGGAGGAAAGCCACCGACCATCGCCCCGGGCCGCCCCGGGGGGACGCCGGCGGGTGGTCTCCAGCACCAGGCACGTGGCCCAGAGAGTGGAAGCGCTTGAAGCGGCTGCAAAATCCAGCAGCTGGGAGGTGAAGGGGAAGGAGCCCAATGTCACCACCATCTACATGATGGTGGGAACGGCCGGGCAGGACCCCAAGGCAGAGGGAGGTGGTGAGGGACCGGTCCAGGCTGTGCTCAAGCGGTTGGGCAGCTTGCAGAGGGGCAAGTGGGCTGCAAAGGAGGAGCCCAAGGTGAGGAAGAGCGCTGAGGCCATCCAGAAACCACCCCGCCGGGCCCTGGCACAGCGCAGAGACTCAGTGAATAGCTGCAAGCAGGGGGAGAGTGTCCCAGGGGCTCCCACCGAGCCACCCCCCGGCAAACACCAGCATCTCCCTGGGAAGAGACAGTCCTTCCTTCTCGCATCTCCCTCGCCAAAAACCACCGGGGCTCAGGATGAGGCCAGCGATGCTGTAGGTGCCACGGAGAGGAGCAAAAGCCCTGAGTTAATCCTCAGCCTCGAAATGAAGGGACAGGCTGCCCCGGAGGAAGAGCCGAAATATGAAAACGTGACCAGCAGCAGTGCCGATTCGCCCCCCGGCCCCACCAAGGAGCCGCTGGCCACCCCTGCGGCCACCTGAGCCACCACCGCCTGGGCTGGGGTAGCGGGAGCCCCAGAGGCTCCTCTGACCCCAGCGTGTGGGGAGCTGAGGTCCCCCTCTGAGCTGTGAACTGGAAAAGCGTGGAGCCTTTCCACTGCCCTCCTTCCCTCCGCGCTGCGTTGCTGGTGTGGAGCCTCGCCAGCTGGCACAGCCGGCAGGACGGGTGATGCTGAGAGCCACAGCGGTGGCAGCCCCGTGGGGTTGTGGTGCTTCAGGGCCGTTTTCTGCTCCCCCCTGCCCTATGTGCCCCATTTTCTGTCTGCCGCAGCCCAGAGGGACAGCGACGCTCTGGACACAGTGGTGGCACCTTCTAGTCCCTGTCGGCATTGGGCTCGGGGACACACATCCTCCCCGTAAACGGGAGCAGGGCTGCCAGGGGCTAGGCTGGGAAACACACGGGCAAAAACCAGTTTCACGCCATCGGCTTTCACCTTTCCCTGTCCCAGCTCTGGTAATGCTGCTCGGAGCCTCTTGCTGTAAAGGTGCTCCTGCCGGAGGGGATTATTTTGCGGAGCTGGGCTGGGGAGAGGTGATGGGCTGTCACAAGCAGCTTCAGCGAAAATTCATTTTAGCTGCTTATCTCGAAGGGTATCTGGGTCTGCAGGGGTTTATCTCTGTGGCTCTGGCTTTTGTGGCAGGCTCTGGCTGCCTACGTTTCTATGTACATGCGTAGCACACGAAAAGGCTCGTGGCACGGCACAGGGTTTATCGACGGCCGTTTAAACTCCACGCGATACCAAGCTGCGATTGTGCAGGAGCAAACGTGGCAGCTGGGCCGTGACCATCAACCTGTGCACCCGGCGCTGTGCCGGCCCTGATAAGGACGAAAGCTGCAGGGAAAATGGCATTTCCACGGACGCCCTCCCCTCCTGCCTCATTCCAGCTGCAGCAGCGTATCGCCACGGGGGGCTGAGATGCGGTGAAGGGGCTGCAGCATCTCCACCGTGGGCGAGACGGGCACAAGGGCTCTACCGGCCGTGCAAGGCAGTCGAGATGCCGAAGAGGATTTGTAGCGTGAACTGGTTTTAGATGTATCTAAGTGGTAGAAGTTTCCTGTATATTTTTTCTGTTATTTCGCATAGCATGAAAGCCTCTGAATGAAAATTAAATTTTACCAAAGCCCTGCAGGATTTGGGTTTCCCAGCTGCCCTCCGAATCAAAGACATGATTCAGAAATATTCTACAAAGTGTGAGAACTGTCGGCAGTCTTAGGCTTTCAGGTTTTTTTTCTTTTAATTTTCTGCTTCTGTTGAATTCTGAAGTCTCACTTAGGGAGCCGAGCCCAGAGCAGTGCTGGAAACCGGCGGGCAGAAGGAATGCAAGTGGGCTGTGACCCTCCGGTGTGTGCATCGCGTGCGGAGCTCCATGTGAGTGCTTCTGGTCCGGCACTGCTGAGTTGGGGTTTAGGGTTTGGGGTGTTTCAGAAAACAGAGCAGATTTGGGTTTTTCCCTTTGGCTTTTTGCGGATGCTTCTCCGCAGCGCGAGGCACCGGATCCCCATGGTCCCACATGGCTGAGGCTTCCAGTTTTGCAGAGAGCATGCAGCACTCCTTCCTTCGCTGGTGTCACCCACTGCCGTGATTATAACACCAAATATTCTGGTATACAAATAAAAATGCTCATCCTGGCAAGACCTGAGCAACAGCCTGTCTGTTCTCTACAGGCTAGCTTTTGTTTTGACACTATTTTATTACAGTGGCAGGGACGGTCTCACATTTTATTTATAAGCAGCCATTTTTTTCCTAATTGGTTGGATATTTTCAGCCCATGAGCTGAGCAGCGTTGTGCCAGAAGTGAGCGTCACGTGAGCCGGTTTGCCCTGGGTACAGCCTGTAAATAGCTGACGACACCAACCCAACAGCCTTCCCTGACGTTGAAACGAGCACCCAGCTTTGAGAAAAAGCTGCTGCTGCTGCAAGAACCTTTCATGTTCACGGGCTGAGCTGTGAGGCAGGATATGTTTCCCCTGCTTGAAGATGAAGCGTCTTCACCCTGTCTGGGCGGCGCACGGAAAACAAGCGGTGGATTTTCAGCGCGTGGCTGCCCATGCACACGCCTGCAGCGTGGTTGCGCTGGTGTCTTCTCGTTAGGGATGCTTCGGTCTGGCTGCGCTGTGGTTTTAATTCTGGATGCGGGAGGTCTACAAGCCAGAGCTGGTGGGTGAGGGAGGAGTTAATGTCTTCCCGTGCTGGTTCTCTTGATTTCTCCAAATCCTGCTGCTGCAGTGGTTTGAAGCCAGCCGGTGGGAAGCGGTTCCCCTGTGCAGGTCCCGTCCGTAAGCAGGGAGGTGTCTGTGCTCCCTGCTGGGGCAGCTCTTGGCCTCCCGGAGGTAGGAGCAGAGGCTTGAGCCATCCCCCATGGCCACAGGGGTCTCTTCCCCAGAACCACAGCCTTGTCATCTCCTTTCCCAAACTGTCCGAGCGCTGCCTTAGAACAAAGAGGACCAAGTCGCTGGCCCCAGTGGCTCTCTCCGAGCCTGCTGAGGAGCTGCCTGTGTGGCCGGGCAGGAGCTGTCACCTCCCTTCCAGCCTAAATTAATTCCTGGCCAATTTCTATGAATGTGTCTTTGTGCCAGTGCTGTCCTTCAGCTTCACTTTATTTTTTTTCTCTCCATGATGTTTACTCAGCCCCCAGCTGTATTTATAGATGGCAGTGGATCACCTGATAGCTCCTTTTCTCCTTCTAGGATAGGGAAACCGAGCCCCCTCACGCTCTCGCTGTAGCAAAGGGTTCCTGTGTCCCCAAAGAGCCTCTGAGCCTTCCTCGTGCTCCTTCCCGCTGCAGCTCGTGTTTCTTGGACACAGTGACCAGGTCTGGGTGCTGAGGTCTCCCGCGGCCTCCTGCTGTCTCAGCCTTCCTCTAGTTCTGCTAGCAACACGGCGTGGATCCAGGCTGCCTTGTTTTCTTTGGGTTTGGGGTTTTTTCTTGTCTGTTTGCTTTGGCTTAAATCCATTTTCCAGCTGTTGCAACGTTTCACTCTTATCCCACAGCCAAGGCCGAGGAGTTTCCTCTCCCCACCCGCCGCAGCCTGTCCCTTCCTCAGGGATGCATCGGTAGGTGCACGTCCGTCTGTCCGGGCTCTCAGCTTCTGCTGAGCCACTCAGAGATGTTCACCTGTCACAAACCACTGTTTTCATCTCGTCCGGACGATTAAAAAAATCCTCTCTAATGATTTCCAGGGATATATGGCCACCTCCTCTGGGCCGGGACCCCGCTGATGAGTGATGGGTTTAGGGCAGGATTAGAAATCCCGCTGGGGAACGCTCCGGAAAATAATTTAACGTAAAAAGAGGGCAGAGCCCTGGTGAGTGCGGATGCGGAGCCGCTCTCCCGGCTTGCAGCGAGTTTTCTTTTTATGGCCGCGACAGCCGCTCCAGGGCCGGGGGCTCGGGGCTCGGTGTCCCCCCACCCGACCGGCGGTCGGCCCCGGGC